TTTTACTAGTCATATATACACTATACTGTGTATTTTTACTAGTCATATATACACTATCCTGTGTATTTTTACTAGTCATATATACACTATACTGTGTACTTTTACTAGGGCCATGTACACACAGTACTGAGGGGGCGGGGCTTACGGCAGCACTCACTGCTCTCTGAGGACAGAGACTGATGAAGGATTAGTTTCTTCATGTGCAGCCTCCAAAAGTCTAAAGTCTCAAACACTCCAGAAAAAATAACTAATAATCTTATTAAAAAGTCACCGGAGGGATCTGAAAACTCAATAAAGTTACTACGCTGGCAACACTGGGAGGTTACAAGTACAAAACTCTGGAGATATTTTACTGCCATAAATCAACAGTTTATATATTTAATATGAGGTAAGGGACGTTTGTCTCCTTTTCAGGGAGTAAAACTGACCTTCATCATCAGCACGACTGTGTTGAGAGCGATTAAAGTCATGATGGCGTACTCAAAAGGCGACGACACGACAAACTTCCACATCTTGTACTGGTAGGACTGCTTGTTCTCTGGCATGTATCTCGTAAGAGGCCTGGCGTTGATGGCGAAGTCAATACAGGCCCTCTGATTGTGGAAAAGAAAACACAAACAGAGTGGGTGTGAATACTTTGTCGTTAAAATAAAATACTTCAGGGGACGATGCAAGAATTTCCATCTAGATAAAGGAGGTGGTCATCACAAAACGATTTGTTGTTTCAAAAGAAACGACTGACAATCAGAATAAAAACTAGAAAAGTGAACAAATGTCCACTTCCCCACCTCGTTCTTCTCCAAGCTGCACTCGGACATGGCCTTGTCTCCTTGCTCCTGGAAGGTGATGATGATCAAAGCTACGAAGATGTTGACAAAGAAGAATGGAAACACCACGAAGTAGACCACGTAGAAGATGGACGTCTCCATGCGGAAGCCGGGGCTGGGGCCCTGGTCCTCGTACGTGGCATCCACCGAGTGCTTCAGGACCCTGAAAAGATAAAGTCCGTAAGTTTTCACTCAGCTCTGAGGATTATCCACTTAGGGACGTTTTTATTTCATTCAAAAGGTGAATGGCTAAAAAAAAAGGAACAGGTCCTTCTAGAAAATGTGGTGAAAAGGAAAAAGTTTGTGATCATTTTACCATTTTTATTGTTTTAACCTTTTACTATGTCATACCTGCAAACTCAGAAGGGATGAAAAAGGTGACAAATCTAGCGCCTGCTTTTTGGCAGCTCCACCACGTGGTTATTGATTAAGGGAAATACGTCTTTAAACAGTCTGGTTGGGATGGGATCGATCAGACGTGGCTGGTTTGGATGAAGCTATTCTTTTTGACAACTCAGAGAGCTCAACAGAACAAAAACAGTCCAAACATAAATCAAGTTCTAGTGACACTTTTAAAGTTGTCTCATCTGACACGGAACCAGAGGTGATACTAGGAGTGTTGGTTTGAAATGTTTCCCTAATTGAAACAATTTTATTTATAAAGAATCTCATGAAGTCATCACTGCTTATAGTTGTAGGGAAACATGAACAAAGAGATGGGACTTTTCATTAGACTAGCTTTGGTACTGAAAAGGAACCTGGGGTTATTTTTATTCTCATCAATTAAAGATGAATAATGTAAAGTTCTAGCTTTATGGGGCGCTTTTTTATACGTTAGCAAGCCATCTCTCCAGGATAAGTAAGATTCCTCAACGTTAGTGGAGCGCCATTTTCTTTCCAGCTTTCTAGATGTCTGTTTTAAAGTACGCAGCTCAGAATTGAACCAAGGGACTAATCTCCTCTGACTGATTACTTTCTTTTTCAGCGGAGTAGCTTTATCGAGAGAAATTTGCAAAGAAGCTGTAAAATTATCAACTAGATCAGAGCTTGAACTTCACTTGAGAGGTATTGATCTACTGATTTTTGATTTTTTTAATCCGGATCAAACTTCTTAAAATAGAAAAATGAATGAATGCGATTAGCTTAGGGTGACCACTTCTCGTTTCTTTTAGTTCACAATCTGTGGTTTCACTTATTTATATGTTGGAGTTTTGCATAAATGACTGTCTAATAAGTTGCAGATTTGTGAAACTGACTCAATAAATCATTCTTCTCATTCATTCAACCTTTATTTAAACAGATAAATCACACTGAGCCTCAAAGATATTTACAAATCAGAGTTGTTCCTTGCCACCAAGCTGTCAGGATTTAAAGTAACGTCACATTGATTCAGTTTGATAATTAACAGTTCACCTCTGTGTAAGGAAAATGAATGAAACAGGCTAACGGAGGCATCAGCGGCTCTTCACAAAGATGATTTAGATTCGTCTGGAGGTGGTACTTTCACTCAGGCGCTCAGTGTTTTTGCTGTTTAATGAGCCTTGATTGCATCTGTAACGAGCGCGGAGTAATTAAACCTGAGAGAAATCAGTGGGGTTTCATCTGTACTGCAGCGGTTTCACCACCCCGGGTGTGCCGAGTTCGTTCTGGGACACGTCACGAGACGCGAACGAGAGAAAGATGCTTCCAGCGCCTGCTCGCTTTTCAGTAATTTCCCGTAATTTATTCATCTCTCTGTCAGAAAGCAAATCGATCTATTCCAAGCGGACTAAATGTATAAACAAAAGGTGTTAGGTCAAAAAGGCACGGACTTAAGCGACTTACAGTGGCCAGCCCTCTCCAGTGGAGACGGTGAAGAGCGTGAGGAAAGCCCAGAGGACGTTGTCGTAGTGAAACTCGTACTTCTTCCACTCTCTGGGCTGAGCCGTCACATCATCCTTATTGTAATCCAGAAACTGACCCCTGCAAAGAAGCACAAGAAACCCCTGAACATCCGTAAGACCTGGGCGTTCATTTATTCTCCTCTATAGGTGAACCTCGTCCGAAAACCTAATGGTCAACGGATGAAACGTGCTGAAATTCTAACTGTAGGGTTTCCAGTTCTTTCTGCAGGTTCCTGGTTCCAGAGGCAGTGCCGACAAGCTGAAGCCGACAGTCATTCCACTAATCACCACCAGGACTATACAGAACCTGGTTCCTGCGCCTCCTGTCCTGGACCAACTGACTGTCCTTGAATCCTCGACTCCTGTACCTACCTGTGAGTAACGAGTCTTCCTTGTGGATCTTCCTCTGCCTTCCTACCACTTGCCTCCATGTTTCAGCGGGACCTCCTGGATCTAAAACCCTCCACCTTCCTCTCTACGCTGCCCTCCTGTAAGAAACCTCCAAGCTGCTCCTCACAGCCGCTGAGCTCTCACCTTCCCTCCAGGGTGTTCCACATGTACAAACCATTGTTTATTTAATCACTGTAAATAAATCACTTTATATCCTTAGAAGGGTTCTGAGTTCAGTCCCTTCTATCTGAGCAAACACGTCCGTTGTGACACTAACCAAGAGTAAAAAGTACTTTGTCTTGATCTGTGGTGGATGAGCTGGACAAGATTTAATGCATACTGAGGCATGTGCTTGAATGCACAACACACGTACGTGAACTTTAATAAATATAGATCATTTTTTTGAATATTAACATTAAACTGAAACCTTGCTGTGATAATTCAAAACTTTTGAAATGAAGTTCTGTGGAAAGTTGCATACTGATCTGATCTCTGAAGGCAACTTTATCTCCATCTTCTACTGCTCATCTGTAGTCGGGTCGTGGAGGCAACAGGTCCACGAGAGAAACCCAGACCTCCCCTCTCTCCAGCTCCACCTGGGGGACTCCAAGGTGTTCCCAGTTCAGGACATAAAATCCCTCCAGATGGTTCTGGGTCTGCCCCAGGTTCCCTTCCCAGTGTGACGTGCCCAGAAAACCTCCAAAGGGAGACGTCCAAATTAGAAGCCTGAACCACCTCAGCTGACTCCTTTAGATGGAGCAGCGGCTCTACTCCGAGCTCCCCCAGATAACGGAGCTCCTCTTCCTCTCTCTAAGGCTGACCCCGCCCACCTTACGAAGGAAGTTCATTTTGGCCGCTTGTATCCTGGATCTCGTTCTTTTGGTGCAAACTTCTTGATGACAGGAAGGCTGGAACGTAGACAGACCAGTAAAGAGAGCGTTGCCTTTCGACTCAGCTCTTTTTTCACCACGAACAAACGAAGCAACGCACTCATTACTGAGGACAAGACCCCATTCCATCGATCCACGTCCCGCTCCATCCTACTGCCACTCGGGAACATGCCCTGATACTTGAACTCCTCCACCTGAGGCAAAGACTCCCCAGTTAAACAAATCGGATGTTCATGAGAAAGACTCAATAATAAAATGCGAAAACATAAAATATATGTTGAATAATAAAGTTCTGCAACATGTTTCCAACAGCCTAAAACAATATGAATAAACTATTTTTTACTCTTCCTGGTATCAAATTGATATAAACTGAATGGCACCCAGTGACAAGGCAGAAGCAAATACATCTTTTTTAAATCTGATTTGAACCCAAAACATTTACAAGTCTGCACCTGCAGTCTTTCTCCAGGCCCTTGGACTCGTCGGTGCAGTAGAAAAACTTGCCCTTGAAGAGCTGCACGGCGATAACCGCAAAGATGAACATGAAGAGGATGTAGACGATGAGGATGTTCAGGACGTTCTTCAGGGAGTTTACGACACAGTCGAACACAGCCTGCAGAAAAGCAAAATTCACAGCGAGGTGTTTTCGTCTACTTTTTTAAGAACAGATTGATTCAAGTAAAAAAAAATTAGGTTTCTAGTTGAAAATGTCTACTGAAGATACGAAAGAGAGGAACTTCACTTTTATAACCTAAAATCCTAATTTGTACTTAAAACATAGCTGAAATAAAACAACTTTTGCAGACTCAGTAACTCAGCTGTGATCTGTCCTGCATTTGGGATAAGGCTAAGATTATTTTAACCTAAAACTAAACTGTTTGTTATTATTTTCATTAATGTTTTACCATTTTCTCACTCGCTCTCGACCAAGACGGACACATTTCTTCCTTCTCCCATCCTCCTGCTTTTTTGCTCTCTGTCTTGTATATCGGAGCTCCTATTTACACATCTTCCGAATCGTAAAGTGCCGTCATGGATCTGGTCAGCTGGACTTTCAACACAATCAACACATTTTTTTCAACCAAGCGACAGGGTCCTGGAGAGCCCTCATGCCCCACTGAGACTCACGCGGTAGATTGTGTCATGGATCCTTTGGGAGTTGATGTGTCTTTCCGTATTGTCTCAGGAGGACGCCGAAGATGTTTATAAATTTGGAACCATGATAGCAGGGTTTCTGCTTGTTGGCACCAGCGAGCACCTATGGCTATTGAAGAAGACGGCGGCGGCAGTTTCGGCCATGACAAAGCTGCCGACCCTGTGTGAAGGTTTGGTTCGTGCTTCAAGCGCTCAAAATCAGCTGATTTACGAGCAAAACTGTAAGATGGACGCGATTTGTGAGAATCGCAGGCCACTTGTGGCTTCTGGGACTCACCAGCATTTTGTGAACGACTTTGGAGGGAGCTAATAAGCACAGATCAGTGGAATGCCCACATATCTGGTCATTTTGGATGGAAAGTACCAGCAGGACTCAAGGCTGATGAGAAATAACAGTCTGCCTGAAAAAAAACAACAACAATTGTGTTTTATCTGAATCTGACTTCCCCGTTTGGACGCAAAACAGGCTGACATCAAATTTCTACTGGGATATGTGTAAACTAAGGAAAAGTTCTGTCTATCGCAACCCCCCATTTCCCCCGAGAACTTCTGTGAAGGCTTATCAGAGCTGTACCGGTAGACATCTTATCAGGACTATGGACTATCTGGAAGTGCTTCATGGACAAATCTCACCGTCTTGTCATCAAATGCAGATGTAATGTGTTTATAAATGTGCTGCTGGTAGAGTTTTTTGATGTCTTAAATCGTGTCCTGACAAGGACAAGGTGTGAAGAGATCTTTTTTGTACTACCACTATCCATCCTCATGGCCTTTTCCCCTTTTCTATCTAAAAGGATAAGGGGTCGTGCTCTTAGGAGCAGCAGCAACGTGCACACAGACCATCTTTCGGACGACTGTACGAACAATCTTACTGTATTTTGGCACAATGATAATAAAGCTTATTCTGATTCTATTAGTTGCTATTTGTTTCCAGTTTAAAGTGTCCATATTCCCAAAAGTCAATAATAAATTATGCATTTTGGTTTTGGAAAGATCATTTAGAATTGTTTGTTTATCTAAAACCCCAACGGAATACAAAATAATACTTTTAGTTTTCCTTCTCTCTGATCTCATCGACTTTTGCTTTTTACTTTTGCACATTCTGAGGTTGGATTTGGATTTTAGGCTGACCAGTTTTTTTTTACTTCCACCCAAAAACCTGTAAATTATGTTTGAGCTTTTAACAAAACCGGTCATGGTGTGATTTTTGGGCAAAAAGCAGTGAGAAGGTGTTCCTGTTGGCTTTAATGTGTTTGAAAGGTGCTCCAAATGCTAATGCGTCATCCGTTCACCGGACACCGTGATGACGACAGGCAAACCTTTCAGGTAAACTCTGCTAAACATTTCTTTTCCCTCACAACGACCCATCGGTGCGCCCCGTTAAGGCAGAATTGTCGTCCACCGGTCACTGTTTTCAGCTACAGGTCTCCCAGCTTGAGTCATAATATCTGTGCTTTGGATGAAATGCTTTGTTGATCTGCCCTGACGTTTAATCTAACCAATGAACTGGCTGCGCCATCAAGGTTTTCCTCTGCTCCACAGCGAGGGCTGATTATATTTTCTGCCAGCCTGTCTGTCCAAGTATTCAAGAAGAGTTGTGTTTCAAGCATCTGTCTGCCAACGCTGATCTGCTTCAGTCATTTCACTTCTACTTCTCCCTTCAGATCTCGTGTTTGGTCAGATGAATTACTTTTGGACGATCAGTTTCCTTCCTGCACCAGAGGGAAGCTGCTGTTTCTGCTTCAGAAGAAGCAGCAAAGAGTCACAGTCTTGGTTGTTGTTTGGACAGTTTCAAGTAACATGATATTTATTTGTAGTAGTTAGTTCCTCTCAGTATTGAGGGATTTACAATTTGAAAATGTCAATGTTTCGCAAACAAGACCACACATTATACCCCAGCTGATAAATTATTATACAGCATTATAATAATCTATAGAAATGACACGAACAAGCAAGGACCTTTTTTTAAAACTTTGACCTTGATTTGTGACCTCGACTTTAAAGCTGGGGTGATGAAAAGTGTACTCAACACTCTGTCTGGTGATGATACTCGAGCAGAGGAAGTTTTGTTAAATTATCTTGAGGGAATCAAAAGTTATGGGCGGGACAAGAGAAGGTTTGCGGGCGTTCGAGACTATGCCAAAATGCGTCCGCCTTTGAAAGGACGTATAAAAACCCAAATCTTAAAAATAAAATAAAAACACACAAGTGGAACATTTTCTATGATGTTTAAACGTAATGACTGCAAGACCCATCAAAACAAAAATTCAAGAAGAATCAAAATCCCCCTTTTTTCTGTCTATACACGTCTGTATTCAATAAATACCGTAACTGACGGTCTACAGAGCGCACCAGACTATAAGCAGTGCAAACTAAATAAAAATAAAATAAAAACACTATTTTGTGGGTAAACAAGCCGTGCTTGTGTATAAGCCGCGGTTGTTCACGTTGTAACGAGAGGCAGCACACAGCTACTGAGAGAAATGTACAGCTCTTGTTGCAGATCAAGAATCAACCACTAGATGGCGTTTCATAGACAGTAATTAATAAAACTTTATTTAAACATGCAGTCTGATCAATGCATGTCTCTCTTAGGGGGTGGGTTCTCTTGATTCAATGACAGTACCTCATTGGTTCATTGTGGTTGACTGCTGGTCACATGGTCACAGAGAGGGATTATGGGTAAAGTATTTTTTTCATTGTTATTTTGGTTAGTTGTTTAACATTGCTTTTTTTGTGACTAGTCTGTTCTTCTTAGCCTTTGTAGTTTATGTTCATTACAAGTTAGTCCATTCAGTAGCGTACAGTAGGGGTGAGCGATATGGCTCAAATATAATATCGTGATATTTCAGAGCATTCTGACGATAACGATAAATTTTGTGATATAACAAAATAAAACAGAAATCAGTTATTCATTTGACAAATTTAACTTAAATGTTGCTTTGCAGTATTATATAACAACAACAAAAACAAGGGTTAATTTTACTTAAATTATTTATTAGTAAAGTATTCAGTCTCAAAGTATAAAAATAAAAAATAAAAATGATCCTTCTGTTATTTAGATTGAAAAAGTCTGCACCAAATATAGATCAACAAAATCCACCACAAAAACTAAAGTGCAGGTGAAGTTTCCCAAAATGAAGCTTAAGATCTGAGAGAGGTGCAGATTGCCTCACTACCATGTAACTGTGATTGGGTAAAGACGTACATTTTTAATAGACGCGTGGTGGACTGGATTACCTTCAGCTTAGGCAGCCGTTTGATGGTCTTGAGTGGCCGCAGGACACGGAGGACTCGTAGGGACTTGATGGTGTTGATGTCCTTTCCCTTGGTTCCTCTGTGCAGATGAAGGGCAGTTAGTTTGGGTCATGTACTGCTCGAAGTGCAATGGGTAAACCAGGGATTCCAGTCTGTGTTCTGTTGGTGGGGTTCATGCATGGAGTGGATGGATTTATTAAACTAAAACATGCAACAGTGTTCGTTCATTTATTTCCCTTCTTTCTTACATTCTTCCTCCCACCTTCCTTCTCTGTACCTTGTTTTCCGACGTCATTTATTTTGGTTGTTATTCTGCCTTCCTTGGGTTATTCTATTCCATCCTGATCTTTTGTTTCCATTGTTGTATTCCCAAACCAACATGTTTGTCTTCACATTCCTTAATAACCTCATCTATGATTTATTCTCTTATTATTTTTATAATTTTCCTTACAACAAGACGACAGTTTTTGATTATTTTTAATTTTCTTTAAACTTTCACTGTTATTTCTCAACTGAACTGATTCATTACGAGATGTTTGGCACAACAATCCAGTCCAAACTAAACACACGTCCCAGGTAAAACTTCAATTAAAACAAATTATTTGTACATTTTTCACTTTTGCGCTGCTTACCTGAGCACTGATTTCACCACAAATATCAAAGAACGTATTTTTCATTTTTCACAGGAAACGCACAAAGAATCTGCCTTTGATTTGGGAAGCAGATTATTTGCAGGAACCACTCGCGTTACAGGAAACGCTTTGTGTTTTAACTGGTTACTGTGGAGCACGGGGGGTTCCCAGCAAGCTGTGGTACTAATAGCATACAAATTAAAGCCATATTTCAGTCCTTTAATGCACATTCAATACTATATATGTTTATAATTCATTGATAAATTGGTGAAAAGTGACTGAGTGATGTTTATATAAGCCAAATCTCTAAAGAATAAGGACACAAGCAAATATAAAGTGCTCCAGCAGCAATGCACTGCATGACAAAGGCTGCTTGCAAAGCTAATAATTCATTAAAAGATAAAAATGATAAATCTATAAAGCTTAAGCAAACATCAGAAGAGCACAAGGGCCTTTATTTAATTTGTTAGAGTGCACTCATCTCTGTAGAGAAGTACAAAATGAAGTCAAATCTGCTGCTCACCAAGAGACAAACGAGAGCTCAGTCAGGAACTCATAACGGTACTTTCAGTGGACCGTTGTCTCTTTTGCAGCTTTTAAAGATGTAAAACGAGGTGAAACTGTCGTTTGATGCTCCAACAAACAACCGAACGTTCTGCCCCAGTGAAGAGATAATTACCGAATAAATATATTTCATGTGAAAATACAGCGAGAACGTTGAGAACCAAAGGTCTTAAAGGCTGAACTTTGCTGAAGAAGCTAAAACTCAAAAGTGGGGAAAAGCTAATTAAAAGGTAAAAGTGTCAAATTAGTTAAATACAAAAATAGCTAAGAACTAGTTAAGCGCAACGTGGCAAAAAACACTAGCTTGAAGATAAAGGTAGCAAAACTAGCTACCTAAAAGCGCAGGCGCTGAATGACGGTTGAAATGTGCTGAAGAAGCTAAAACTGTATCGTTGTAACTAAAAGAGGCAGAACATTCGACAAATGTAGCAAAAAGCTAGCTTAAATTATATAAAGGTAAAAGGAAACAATAGCTAGAAGTTAAACGTAGTGAACTGGTAGTTAGAAGCTAAAAAAGCAGAAAGCTAGTTAAAACATAAAGGTGGAAAAATACTATGTCAAAAATTAAACAAGAGCAAAATGTTGTAAAGTGGTTAGATAAAAAGGTACAAATATCAAAATGCTAGCTAAAAATAGCAAAATGCTTACCAAAAGTAGCAAAAGCTAGCTAAAGTCTAGTAAAAACCTGAAGTAGCAAAAGGTTAACTAAAATGTAAACGTAAAAAAAAGTTAGTAAATTGTAGTAAAAACTAGCTAGAAACCTAAACTAGCAAAAGGCTCTCTGGATGCTAAAAGTAAAAAGTAGTAATATCCTAGCTGGGAGCTAAATGCACCAAAAGGCTACAAGTAGCTGAAGTAATTAGCCTTACGGTACGAGCACAAAAGTAGCTGCTTTATGTTTTTATTCCTACAAGCAGATCATGGTTTGGCTAACAACATTTCGCAAAGTAACATCAGTCATTAATGTTTTTAAAGATATAAAATGAAAAAAAAGCTGCTGGATTTACAAACCATTTTCTCCATCACTTCTCGAGAAGCTATTTTAAAATATTGCCAAACAAACTCTTGTTAAAGACGCCTGATTTGTTGAAGCCTCAAAAGTCCCGACAAACAAAATTAAAAAGCACCTGAAGAGTAAAGTTCTGGTCGTTGCTGAGCGAATTAAAAACAAAAGTGTTAAAAACAGTTTTGTGTGGAACGATGGAAGAAGAAAATATGCTTGAATGTAAAGAATTGTGGGAAATATCTGGGCTCGGAGCATTTCAAACCCCAAAGTGAACAGCATGCGGCGCTCATGCTTCAAGAACTCGAATACCCTGACATGCAGAGTCTGGTCCAGTCCTGCTGTTCGAGGACCCTCACCACACTCAGAAGGCAAAGAGTCTCCAAACGGCTTTCAGAAGAGCTTTCAGGAGGACAAACAGCCACTAATTAGAGCTCATCTGTACCTGCATGTGTTGAAGTAGCTTCTGATGGAGAAGCTGTTTATTTCTAACAAAGCTGAGGTCTTTCAAAAAGCTATCTGAAACAGGTAAGACAATGATTGTTCACAACCTTACCACAAAACCTCACCTTAAGTGTTTGCATTAATAGGGCCTGTATGTGATTAATTTAAATTAAAGTCCGAGAGGAAAACAGTTTTCCCTTTAAGTGAAACAAGTTCTGCTTTAAGACAAAGTGTCCTAAAATTATAATGAAGAAGAAAATATGTATTTGGGAGTAGAAAATGGTGATCGATACAGCTACTTCACAAGTTAAAGTTGATATAACACAATAAAGTAACGTTTAATCATTGCAGCATCTTTACATCAGCCTTCTGAAAGCTCTTGGATGGAGTTCCCAATATTGTCTTTTGAGATTTGTTGTCCAATATTGGCACAGGAGGATAAGAGGGAGAGGCATGATGGTCAAGCACCTGGGGTGTAAAGGTTTATTCAGTGCCTAAATGTCAGGTAAAGAGGTTTGTATGGGGGGGGCGGGTCAGTAGGTAGAAGGTAGAGAGGGACAGTTCCCACCTGGCCACACTTTGTTGCGATCTGACGAAGAAAAGAATTGATAAGCGAGCAGACGATACAGAAAGAAACACCAGCGTTGAAAACCAGACAAAACAAAGAGTCGAGGCAGAAATCACAGAGACGTGAACATTTCACACCGACAACAGTTAGTGGGACTTAACGAAAACCAAACCACAACGAATTTATTAAGACTGAGAATGAAGTGACCTGATCTACGTTTGTTCGTTTGTTTATCACAACAAACAGAGCCTAAAGGAATAATCAAAACAGGATCTTGAGTCCGTCCATGATTATTCTTTAAGCCTTGCAGTGAGAGGTCAAACACCTCCGTGGTGTGAAGGTGGAGGGTCAGGTGACGGATGGACGAAATGTTGAACAGGAAGTGAACATGAGCGTTATTAAGGCTTATAACGTTAAAAGAGAGAATCGGTCAATTTGTCCCTTGACTCAGCTGTAGCTCAATTTTCACGTCATATCCACCCATAGACATTCCATACTCGCTGGTAGACATGTTAGAATCGTTTTTAGACATTTTGTACCCACTGGTTGCTATTTGTACACACCAGTAGACA